CAGGAGCCCCCGGTGGCGCAATGGGTTAAACCCTTGTGCCAGCAGGACTGAAGACCGACAGGTTGTACGTTTGAATCCAGGGGGAATGTGGATGAGCTCCCTCCGTCAGCTTCAGCTCCCCGTGCAGGGACATGAGAGAAGCCTCCCACAAGGATGGTATTAATACATCTGGGCATCCCCTGGGCAACGTCTTTGCAGACATCCAATTTTCCCACACCAGAAGTGATTTGCAGTTTCTCAAGTCGCTCCTGACACACACAAAAAACCTGCTATGGAATCCTGGGATTTGTAGTTTGGGAGGCACCTGCATTTTTGGGCAGGGAAGGCTAATGGCCTTGTAAGGCTATAACTCCCAGAGTGCTATTGCATTGCCTCGTGGCAGTTAAAGTGGCGTCAAACTGCACTCTTTCCACAGTGCAGATACATCCTAAGACACCACTATCAGCAGGCCAAGATGTTACTTTCTCAGCCACCCATTTGGACAATTTTAGATCATTTAGGATTAATGAATCCCGGATAAGGGAGGCTCGACCTGTATAAACCTTCCCGAAAAGTTATAGTAATGGTAAACCTGGCCCCTTCCACACAGCTATATAAAACCCACATTGAACTTGATTATATGGCAGTGGACAGAGAGCCCTTCCAGACAGGCCCTATATCCCAGGATCTGATCCCAGGTTTTCTGTTTCTCCCAGATTATCTGGCAGTATGGACTCATATAGTCCCCCATGTTGTTTTAACATCTACATGAAGCCATTGGGTGAGATTATCCGGAGCTTTGGAGTTCGATGCCATCTGTATGCAGATGATGTCCAACTCTATTACTCCTTTCCACCAGATGCTAAGGAGACTGTCCAGGTTGTAAACCAGTGCCTGGCCACTGTGACAACCTGGATGAGGGCAAACAAACTGAAGTCGAATCCTGACAAGACAGAGGTCCTACTGGTCAGTCGCAAGGCTGAACAGGGTATAGTGTTAGAGACTGTACTGGATGGGGTTACACTCCCCTTGAAGGCACAGGTTCGCAACTTGGGAGTCCTCTTGGACTCATCACTGAGCCTGGAACCTCAGGTGGCAGCGGTGGCCAGGGGGCTTTTGCACAATTAAAACTTGTGTGCCAGCTGTGCCCATACCTTGGGAAGTCAGACTTGGCCACAGTGGTCCACGCTCTCGTTACATCTAGGATAGACTACTGCAATGTGCTCTATGTGGGTTTCCTTTGAAGACTGCTTGGAAGCTTCAAATAGTCCAGCGAGGGGCAGCCAGGTTAAAAACTGGGACGGCATACAGGGAGCATGCAACTCCCATGTTACGCCAGCTACACTGGCTGCCTGTTTGCTACTGGGCACAATACAGAAAGTAAAGACTTTCTGTATATATTTCAGATTTCAATATTAATGTCAAAAATACGTAGTATGATTTTACATAGGATTTGTGCTACATTGGAACAGTCAAGACAAATATCACTTAAGTAAAATAAACATTAAATATTAAATAACCAGAAAAATAAGGTGTAAACACTAATCTAATCTGGGAATCTGCTATAGCCTATAAAGCCCTAAATGGCCCCGGCCCAGTTTACCTGTCTGAACACATCTCCCTTTATGAACCACTGCGGAAACTAAGATCTTCCGGAGTGGCCCTGCTCTCGGTCCCGCCACCATCACAGGGTTGTTTGGTAGGATGAGAGACAGGGCCTTCTCAGTGATTGCCCCCGGCTATAGAACTCCCTTCCTGGCAATATTAGATCAGCCCCCTCCCTCTTGTCCTTCAGAAGGATGGTGAAGACCTGGCTGTGGGACCAAGCCTTTGGGGCAGTGCAATGGGGCAAAATCATGTCCTGAGGTGGTTTTAAAGCAACTTTTAATGTGGATATAAGTGATTTCAATGTTTGTATATATTTATATATATTTATGTGCCGGCATTGAATGTTGGTTCTGGCCCAACTTACCTATCCGAACGCATCTCCTCCTATGAACCAGCTAGGATGTAAAGATCGTCTGAGGAGGCCCTGCTCTCAGTCCTGCCTGCATCACAAGTACGTCTGGTGAGGACGAGAGACAGGGCCTTCTCAGTGGTGGCCCCTTGGCTGTGGAATGCCCTTCCTACAGAAATTAGATTGGCCCCCTCCCTGTTAGCATTTCGGAGGAAAGTGAAGACTTGGTTGTTCGAGCAATGTAACGAATATAGGAATATGGAACAGTTGGATGATGAGACTGGATCTTGATTTTAACTATGAGACAATAATGAGATGTTATATGATGTTTAATTGATTGTTATAATGCTATTGTTTTCATTGTTTTTAACTGTTTTATGATGTTTTAAGCATTGAATTTTGCTATTGTGAACTGCTCTGAGTTGCCCGAGGGCTGAGAATAGCGGGATACAAATGTAGTGTGTGTGTGTATATATATGTAGTGTGTGTGTGTGTGTGTGTGTATATACACACACACACACACACACTAGCTTGGGGACCCGGTGCTGCCCGGGTTATTTGAGAAAGGAATTGTCTATCAAGGTTGGTCTTTATCAGTTATTTATATGGCTCGCAGTGGTCTCAGGAAGTTAGTGAAGGTACTGCGAGTCCCATCATCTGTGGTCCTTCCTCCTCCAAACTGCAGCAGGATGGAGAGTGGGTCATGGGGGCTCTGTGTGCCAAGTGTGGTCTTGATCAATCATTGGATGAAGGTCACATTGGTCTCAGGAAGTGAGTTAAGGTACTGCAAGTCCCATCATCCATAGTCTTTTCTCCCCCAAAACTCCCCAGAATGTTGAGTTGGCCAAGGGGGCTCTCTGTGCCAAGTTTGGTCTTTATTGGAGTGAAGGAGTCGTTAAACTGCTGCCACCAATTGTAACGATGACCGTTTTAATGCCACCGAATGCCACCAATTGTGAAGGTGCGCGTGGTAAAGCACCCACTGCCACCTAATCTATGAGGGAAGCCGGGCAACGATCAATATCAACCTAGGAGCTATTTTATAAAGGGACTGTTAATTACAGAAGGCTTTATTCACTTGATAGCGTAGCGTTTACTTTCTTGGCTTGACTTTACTATAGCAGGCTGTTCAACTTAGGAGAAACTGTATCAGGCAAGACTTGAGGAAAACAGCAACAAGTTTATTTTAACAGGAGTATAACAATGTATAACTGTTCTTCAAAAGAGGCACAAATCTTGATGGATACATTGGAAAGGTTTCATGAGTAAACTCAGGCAAACACTTCATAAGGTTTCACAGCTGGCACAACAGGCTTAAACCCAGCCAAACCTTGATTCTTAATTTAGAATCAACAACCCCCTGTACCGGGTCCTTCTCTGCAACCACTTGGTCACCAATTGATTCCCTGAATCTCCACCAAGAGATTCAGTCTTTCCCTATAGCACACTGGCTACAGACACATTCCCTGAATCTCCACCAAAAAATTCAGTTCACTCAGTAGCTCGCTGGCGTACTAATTCCCTGTTTCTCCCACTAGAGAAATCAGTCCCTTCCTGTAGCTCACCAGCCACAGACTGCCACTTTCAAAAAGCTGCGCCGTGAAGTGATAGTTGGCTCCGCCCCCGTTGCTATGGCAACTCAGCTCAAGCCACTAGCCACCATCTCTAACGAAATATAATCTCCCATACTTACCATCCCTAAACCACTGTCCAAACTACACATAACCAAAGAATAAAACTTACACATCGTCACAATTGGTATTTGGATAAGTGTTGCTGTGGTTTCAGGAAGTGAGTGAAGGTACTGGAAGCCCCATCATCAATCGTCCGTCCTCCTCCAAACAGCATCGGGATGTAGAGTGGGTCATGGGGGCTTTGCGTGCCAAGTTTGGTCTTGATCAGACATTAGATGAGGGTTGCAGCAGTCTTGGGAAGGGAGTGGAGGTACTTGAAGTCCCATCATCCGTGGTCTGTCCTCCTCGAAAGTGCAACAGGATGTAGAGTGGGTCATGGGGGTTCGGTGTGCCAATTTTGTCTTGATTGGTCATTGGATGAGGGTCGCAGTGGTTTCAGTGAGTAAAGTTACTGCAAGTCCCATCATCCATGGTCCATCCCCCTTAGAATTGCATCAGGATGTGTGTGTGTTTGTTTGTGTGTGTTGTGCTCTGCCCTTAGTCCCCTGCGGGGGTGAGAAGGGCGGAATATAAATATTTTAAATAAATATAATCTAGTGTAAAGTAGAAACCTGGGATCAGATCCTAGGGCCTGTCAGGAATGGCACTTAGACAATCCAGTTCAAAGCAGATACTGTGGAGTTTTCCACCTTCATATTCTGGGTTATATGGCTGTGTGGAAGGGCCCTCTGTCGCAGGAAGAAACAAACCACAAAACCAAAAAAAAGGTTGGTAATTCCCTGTAGTCCCCGAGACAGAGCTCTGTCATCGCGAGTCAGATTTCCCACGGCATCTGAGGCGGGGCCACTCCACCCTGGGCAGGAATGGGGACCAGCTGTGAGCACAAACAGGCCAGAAAGAGGCGAAGAAGGGAAGCTGGCTAGGAAGCCACGCCCAAGAGGGAAGCCGCTAGGAGGGCGTGGCTTAGAAGGGGGCGTGCCTATGCAGATTACAGGCAGGGTTTGACTCAGGAAAACCGTAGAGATACGAAAATATAGAGCACGGCTCCATTCGATAAACTTGAGCCTTCCAAGTGTTTTGGAATTCAACTCCCACCATTCCTCACAGCCTCAGGCCCCTTCCTTTTGCCCCTCACCGCTTAACCTGGGGAAAGGAAGGGGCCTGAGGCTGTGAGGAATGGTGGGAGTTGAAGTCCAAAACACTTGGAAGGCTCAAGTTTACCCATGCTGTCATTCTAAATAGCCTGACTGAGTGGGTGGGAATCTCAGGCCTTGGCGGCGCGAGCATAATAGCGGTGGGCGTGGCTTCGTCGAGGTCACGCGGCCTACGGGTGGCACCACCGCCGGCTCCTGGGCGCGCGGGCGCGGCTCGCGGGCTTGTCACGTGCGCCGAGGCGCGGGCCGGGATTGGCTGTCGCGGGTGCGCGAGCGCGCCGGGGCTGGTTGTGCGGGCGGAGGAGCCTCCCCTCCTCTCAGTAGGAGCCTCGGAGGCGGCGGCGGCGGCACAATGAGGCGGCGCAGGGGCCGCGGCCTCCGATAGCGCTTCCTCCCGCTCTCCCTCCCTCCTTTCCCCATGGGGAACACCGTCACTTGCTGCGTCTCTCCCGGCGCCAGCCCCAAGCTCGGCCGGGCCCGAGGGTCTGTGCTGGGAGGCGGAGGAGGAGGAGGCGGAGGAGGAGGGGGACTCGCGGCGGCGGCGGCAGCAGGCCTAGACCGGCGAGGGACCGCCTACCGGGAGATCACTGAAGCGGAGTCCGGAGACTCGGACCCCGGCGGGGGCGGGTCCCACCTGCAGCATATCAGCGACCGCGAGTTCCCGGATGGTGAGTCAAGGAATAGGGGGCTCCTTCCTCCCAGCCCTTCCACACAGCCCTATAATCCAGAATATCAAGGCGGAAAATCCCCACAATATCTGCTTTGAACTGGGTTATCTGAGTCCACACTCATTATTCAGCTGTGTCTCTCTGCCTCTGTGCGGCCTAAGAAGTGCTTCCTTCGGGCCTCTTGAGCCCCTCAATGGAGCCCGAGAGCTTCCCCCTCTTTTTGTTTTGTTTCCTATGCCGTTATGGTGATCCGCAGGCCCCTTCCACACAGCCCTATATCCCAGGATATCAAGGCAGAAAATGATAATGTAGAAATGTCTTTATATATATATATATAATACACTTCGAACTACTTATTATTATAAACACAACAATATATATATATATATAGAGAGAGAAATTTCTACATTATCTGAGTGTCAACTCTGATAACCCAGTCCAAAGCATTTTCTGCCTTGATATCCTGGAATATAGGGCTGTGTGGAAGGGCCCTGAGGTTCATCATAACGGCATATATATATATATATAGGTAAAGGTGACATTAAGTCCAGTCATGTCTGACTCTGGGGTGTGGTGCTCATCTCCATTTCTAAGCCGAAGAGCCAGCGTTGTCCGTAGACACCTCCAAGGTCATGTGGCCGGCATGACTGCATGGAGCTCCGTTACCTTCCCGCCAGAGCGGTACCTATTGATCTACTCACATTTGCATGTTTTCGAACTGCTAGGTTGGCAGAAGCTAGGGCTGACAGTGGAAGCTCACGCGGCTCCCCAGAATCGAACCTGCGACCTTTTGATCAACAAGCTCAGCAGCTCAGTGCTTTAACCCACTGCGCCACCGGGGGCCATATATATGTATATATACAGTATATTCTGGCATATAAGACTACTTTTTAACCCAAGAAAATCTTTTCAAAAGTCAGGGGTCTTATACACAGGTGTAGTCTTATGCATGGGAGTTGTCTTAACTCTATATTTTAACTGGAAAAGTTGGGGGTCATCTTATACGTGCAGTCGTCTTATATGCCGGAATATACGGTATATATATGTATATATATATTGCAGATAAAAGATTGCTCCCTGGAAGAAGGAGCTTCCATATAACTCAATGAGATAGAAGTAAATAGTTTATCTTATTACATAAAAAGAGTGGGAACAATATATTATAGAGAAGTAGGAAAATTAGCTAATGTGGAAATTTCCTGCCGTTATATTCTGGGATATAGGGCTGTGTGGAAGGGCCCCAAAGCGACCCAAGCTCCTTCCACACAGCTGAATAAAATTCCACATTTTCTGCTTTGAACTGGGATATATGGCAGCGTGGACTCAGATAACCCAGTTCAAAGCAGATATTGTGGGTTATTCTGCCTTGATATTCTAGGGCTGTGTGGAAGGACCCCCAGTCTTAGGGTTTCCTGGACCCAGGAGGTTTCAAAGGATTCAGCGGCAAAGGGTGCCTCTACACTGTGCTATTATTATTATCATTATCATTATCATTTGAAACACAACAAGATGAGTCCACAACAGACACTCTGCTGGCTGTTGTATTGGATCACACGTCGGACACTTATTATTATTATTATTATTTAATAATATTATTATTATTTGAAACACAACAAGATGAGTCCACAACAGACCCAATACAACAACTCTGCTGGCTGTTGTATTGGGTCACACGTTGGACACTTCTAACTTATTATTATTATTATTATTATTATTATTATTATTATTTGAAACGCATCAAGATGAGTCCACAGCAGACACTCTGCTGGCTGTTGAATTGGATCACATGTCGGACACTTCCCAAGTGTCTAGGACTGTGTGATGTATCGGCAAATAATGTGTGCAGATCCCAGTAAGGTGGCCTTCTGTAGCTGGCAGATGGGAATTTTGTCAGCGCCAATTGTGTTTAAGCGCACTGCACTGGTCTTTAGGCACTGCACCCAGTGTGCCAATCCCCACTGGGACCACCTTGACTGGCTTGTGCCAGAGTCATTATTATTATTATTATTATTATTATTTGTATTTATACATACCCTGCTTTATCTCCCCCAAAGGGGACTCAAAGCAGCTTGACAGAAAAGCATCAGCATTCCATGTAAAATATGTATTTCTTTGTTACGGAGGGCCCTTCCACACAGGCATATAACCCAGAATATCAAGACAGAAAATCCCACAATATCTGCATTGAACTGATCTATCCGAGTCCACACTGCCATATATTCAAAGCAGAAAATGTGGGATTTTGTTCAGCTTTGTGAAAGAGCCCGGAGATTTCTATGCTGTCTTTCTCGAGGATGGACCCTAGGCGTCTCACATCAGATTTGAAAATAGACATGCCAATAGTTAAACACAGTAACTAAACTAAACTAAGCATTAAAAGACTTCTCAATTCTTGGAGAAATTTCACTTGGCCACAATGGTACGTGCTCTGGTTACATCCCATGTGGACTATGGCAAAACTCTCTACGTGGGACTGCCCTTGAAAAGTGTCCAGAAATTACAATTCATCCAGAGAATGGCAGCTAGGCTCCTTACTGGAGCTGACGATTTACTTCTGGGCCCAATTCAAAGTGCTGGTGTTAACCTAAAAAGCAGTGGTTCTCAACCTGTAGGTTCCCAGGTGTTTTGGCCTACCAGTTTATCAGTTGTTAGGATTTCTGGGAATTGAAAAACAAAACATCTGAGGACCCACAGGTTGAGAACCACTACTATACGGCTCTATACGGCTTCGGACCAGGCTACTTGAGACAATGGGTCTGGCATTCTAGACTAGGCAGATCACTTAGATCCATTAAGGAAACCCTCCTCCAATCAGCCAAGGGACAGCCTATGTCTAAAAATCTCTAGAGATGGTACATTCTCCGGAGCATCTCTTAAATTATGGAGTGCGCTGCCAGAAGAAACTGAAGCATTCCCCTCTTTGATGTCCTTCAGAAAAGGAGTGAAGACCTTCCCATCGTCCCATCTGATCCTCCTCCCAGATACACTACACTGCTCATCTCACCCAGTGTTTTTAAACGTTTTAAAATTTGCACTGTGTTAGATTATTGTGATTTTATATTGCACTGTGTTTATTTTGTTTTGTTTTGTTTTTTGTATTTTTAGTATTATATTTTATTGCTGTATTTTGTGTTGAAATTGCTGGGCTAGGACTCATGTAAGCCGCCCCGAGTCCCCTTGGGGAGATGGTGGCGGGGTAAAAATAAAGTTTTATTATTTTATTATTATTATATTAACAAAGCTTTTAACTGATTTTATTTAGTCCTGGTATTATGGTTATCTGGGAATTTTAGAGGTATTCTATTGAATCCAATCTTGCTCTTTCGATAGTTCTACTATTTTAAGGCTTTTATGTTTATCTATATGGTTGATGTTAGGATGTGATCTTGTAAGCCGCTTTAGGTCCATTGGTAGAAATGTCCAAAATAAATAAAAAGTATTAGAGGTTCAGTCGTCCTTAAGAACTTTCAGTATTATTGAACATTAAAACTTAAAACCAAACTAAAATTCCCCATATACAAATGTACGAATATTAAAGCAGTGAAAATCCATTACAAACATATTCAAAGTTAAAAACCACAGCACTCCCTGATTTGACCATAAACACCTTTTTATTTAAAAGCATGCCTGAACAAAAATGTTTTAGCCTAAGGGAGTTCAAGGGTCCAGGGGCAGCCACTGAGAAGGAAGACCCGCTTTCATTCCCATCAGTTGAGCTTGAGATGGTGGGACTGAGAGAAGAGCCTCTCCTGAAGATCTCAGGGCCCGGGAAGGTTTGAACAAGGGGATGTGGTCAGCCAAATAGCTGGACCTGAACCGTCTCGAGCGGTGGTTCTCAACCTATAGGTCCTCAAATGTTTTGGCCTTCAACTCCCAGAAATTCTAACAGCTGGTAAACTGGCTGGGATGTATGGAAGTTGCAGGCCAAAACACCTGGTGACCCACAGGTTGAGAACCACTGGTCTATGGTTTTCAAGGTCATAACCGGCTCTTTGAATTGTGCTGGATAACAGACTGACAGCCAGTGGTGCTGCTGCAACAGGGGGTCATCCTCCCCCTGTAGCAAGCCTCAATGAGCAACCTGGCAGCAGCTTTTTGGACTAGCTGAAGTTTCCAAGCACTCTTCAGAGGCGCATTACAGTAATCCAGACTGGAATGAAAGCTGTTTGACACTATTTGGACATGGGTCACTGCTATGGGATTTGTGGTTTTGCGAGGTCTCTAGCCTCCACTGCTGCCACAGCAAACTGCCAAACTCAGGATTCCATAGCATTGTGCCATTGTTGAGTGTCGGATTGCATTCACTCAGCCCAGTATGTTAGCATTGTGAAGTAGAGAAAGGTTGTTATGCACAGATGTAGTGGGAATGCCTAAATGCAACAACTTTTTGAGAAAAGATTTTTTTTTTTAATTGAGAGATTATTGAAAATACCAGTCCAGGTAACTATGGAGTTTATGTTGATAGGGAACAAAAACATTGGTGCAAAGAACCAAGATTTATTTGAAGCAATGATCCTAGCTGGAAAGGTGGTAAAAAGGGGATGGAGAAATGAAAAAGAAAATAGAATCTGAAAAATTGGAATAAGCATTTATTTGAGCTAGTCCAATAAAACATTATAGCAGGTATAGTTCAATAATAATAATAATCATCTTCTTCTTCATCTTTATATCTCGCTTTTCTTTCTCACGGGACCCAAAGTGGCTTACAACATATTAAAATCATGTAAACAACAATCCAAATACATAGATAAGTATAAAACATCACAAAATAACAATTTAAAACAATAATATACATTCGCATTCTTGTGGCATCATGTCAGATCTTATTGCACTTTGTTCCACTCCATAAACATTATGGTGTTTCTTATCACTTCAGCTTAGTTTCCTTCACCAAAGGCCTGGTATACAGGAGGACAAAACTGACAAAATTAAAGAGAAGTGGGTGATTTATATGAAATGGGTAGAAGAGAAGGTACACAGGAGGATAAAACAGACGAAAT